AACGTAAATAAGTCGCGGATTTCTGGGGTCTGCGCATGTACCATCCAATATGTCCGTCCATTTCCCTACACGTAAAGGGCAACCATGAACAGGACAAGGAAGTATCAACGCGAAATGCCTTATCGGGCACCACAAAAACATTGTGGACATTAGTTTTGCTGATAAATATGGCATCTCAATAACCCGATCAAATCGTCCGTTTTCCGGGGATCTTTCGAACTCCGCGATAACTAGCTTCAGCAACTTCTCTTCTTCCTTTCCAAGCTGAATACTCTGCGTGCTAGAAAACATAAACGCGAAAAGGAAGATGAAGGCTTTCTGGCAGCTCATCCTCATAGCTATCCGTGACTGACGGTTCAAAACTGTAACGAAAGGTTACTCAGCTAGATTTACACTTTGCTAAGTTGAAAAATCAATATTAGTAATTTTATCTCCTATTTGTATTTTTACGAAGATCATATATAGCTGTGGTCACAAAACAGACCTTTACCTAACGTAAAACTGATTTACCTAGGGCCATTTTTTATTGTTTCAGTTTGAATAAGTTAGAATTTGTGTCAAAGTGTGTAATGCACTAAAAGTACGTCTAAAACATCAGTTTATCTATGAATAATTAACACATTTATGGTAGTGAAAACGTTAAAATAGGTTAGTAAAAGCTCTAAAACACCACTTTTGACCTTGCAGATGTGACGTGTTCGGTCGCGTGACCTCAATTTGAGCAATCTGAACATGGTTAAGATTCGTTCTACAAAGGCGTAACAAGAGCCATAATTGGGACAGAGAGCGAATCTGAGGGCGTGGCCGGGATATGTGAATTTCACTAAAGTTATTTTTAGAGTTACAATTAAATGGAAGTCTAATTCCTGGGACGTCCGCACATCTTAATCGAAGCGCGCCAACCCTTGTATTGAATATTCAACATGACCTTGTATTCGACCGCGATTTACAGGCGTCTGGATTTCAGCATAAATATACCGGATGAGTCTATTGAAGGGCCTGGTGGGTGCGTTCCACAAAAAGAAGTTGCAGAAAGCGGTCCTACTCGTGAGAGCAAGATAAGCGAGGTTTTGTCTTCCGAAGAAGACTCCAATTCTGTTTCCTTCGGCGGGAAAGCTGTGAGAAAAAGTCCGCGTCTCGCGGTTAAAGCTTTAAAAGGTCTTCTTGAAAAGAAACAGAAGAAAGCCAAGGAATTATCCCAAGAGCAGTATCTTCGGGAACTCAGGACCTCCAAAGAAGTGCAGATATTAAAAAAGCTGGAGGAAGAAGTCTATCAACTTGACGCTTCGCTGCACTGTGAAATGGAAGCGATATCCGGCCATCACCAAAGTGCAGCTCTCAGCGTCTATCCTCGCAAGGAGAGGACCTTCAGTGAAAAACTTGG